CTAAATCCAGTAATTCCAAATCTAATTAGATCCAGTAATTCCAAATCTAAGACTAGCTAGGGAAATAAAATATTCTTAAGTTTCGTGTTCTAAGATATTTGTGGTAGTATAATATGCAGTGGTTGGAAGCTGATGATATCTTAAAGTTCTTTTTAAAACGGAGGATGGTCAAGTATGTTCTGGAATATAGAGATAATGGAATATTAAGTGGCCATTAAAAATAATATGTTTATAAAGTATTTGTAATGCCATCAGAAAGTATGTATCATATGACAAAGTAAAAAGGTGTATGAATTTTATGTAACATACTTTCAACTATGTGAAATAAATTTAAAAGACTAGAAGGGAATGCATCAGATTGTTGAATGTTCCGCCTGGCTGGTGGAATTGTTCTTGCATTTTACAAATGGTCTGCATTTAGTATAGCCTTACTATTATATTCAGAAGACTCGTAAGCTAAAAGATAAAGTTTGTAGTTTAGAATGTTTAATAGTTATTTAATGGAATTTTAATACAAAATAAGCAAATTGTTTATTCTCATATTAGACAAGACATCATTGTCATTTTTCTCTTTTGATGTGGGGGCATTTCAATATCCTGAAAACTTGCACTGAAAGATTCAGTGCTCTTGGCTGGGGGCTGGGTGCTGTGGCTCACGCCCAGCACTTTGGGAGGCTGAGGCAGGAGGATCACCTGAGCTTGGGAGTTTGAGACCAACCTGACCAACATGGAGAAACCCGTCTCTACTAAAAATACAAGTATTAACTGGGCGTTGTGTCACATGCCTGTAATCCCAGCTACTTGGAATGCTGAGGCAGGAGAATTGCTTGAACTTGGGAGGCAGAGGTTGTGGTGAGGCGAGATTGCACCATTGCACTCTAGCCTGGGCAACAAGAGCAAAACTCTGTCTTAAAAAAATAAAAAAAGATTTAGTGCTTTTGCACTTTAAAGCTGGAGAAGGAGGGTGGACATAGTGGGTGCTAGGAGGGAGAAAAATAATTTAAAGACATTTTAATGAATTGTCTGTAGCATGGATATAAAATATCAGCGTGTGACTTTTCTTTGCCAGAGATCTGATAGAACATAATCTTTTCTGATTTCTGCAGTATCAAGTCATGGGTGGATAAGATGCAAGAAGACCTTGTCACATTGGCAAAAACAGCAAGTGGAGTCAATCAGCTTGTTGATGTGAGTAAAATCCACCAAAGAGATTTCTTAATCTTTTCTTTAATTTGAATGCAGTTCTATCTTCTAGGAAACTGTATTTCTATATTTCAAGTGGGATATGATTTCTCATGTGGATCTGGTGGTGAAATTCTGAGCGAAACCTTTGGTACTGCTAGTTACTGTGAACAAGAAATGCCATCCTTAAAAATGAAGGAAACTTCCTCAACATACTTTGCAGTTGATATGCAGGTCTCCCTTAGATGAGTCTCATGTTATATACTCTCCCTAAATTCAAATAGGGGAGTCATATACTTACTCCTGTAAAGTTTCCAATTTTCAGAATATATCAAATAATCCCTCATACCATGGTGACTTGAACTACTATAATGGAATCTTAATATCCTCAGTGAAACACATCTTCGTTCTTTGAGGGTAGATTTTATTTTAAAAATTATTTGAAAAGTGTTTACGGGCATGTCTAGAGATTAGAGTGAGTCATTGAGATCAGTAATAATGGTTTTGGTGCAAGATAAGGAGACTCTATAAAAGATGATTTTTCTTGTGACTTATGGATTGATTATGAAAGTCACTGTAAAATGATTTTTGAGTGACAGCAGTATATAAATATTTGTATGGCATCTTAAATAGATTATTTTCCATGGGCAAGAACATTTACATGTATAGGTTCTATAAGATTTAATAAAAATTAACTGCCACTTTTTAAGGGTCTCACTACTTTCATTTCAGTGTAAATAATACATTTTAAAGTATTCTCATCTTGTGTTTTTAGTGATGCAGTGAGGCCTTTTATTTTCCAAAAATGTGTTGGGTCAATGAGGCAAAGTGGTATAAAAGCAGCTTCACGTATAATATATAACTATTTATCATGTAAATATATATGACAAACTGGAATGTGTGGTTACTTTATATATTAACCACATACATACATAAAGAAACCACGTACATACATACTTCAAAAAATTATACCAGAACCTCTTTGTAAAACAACTGTAGAGTGTGTTGAACAAATCTACATGTCTGTGAGATAAGGAATGTTTGGAAATGAAAGGTGTTCCTTGTGAATAACGATCAGATTTAATTCTAGTCAGTGTATTATGTTGAGCACGTAATATGTCCCAGATACCTTTCAGGCTGCCAAGGATAAACAAAGAAACGGTATTCCTCTCCTCAGAGAACTGACACTCTGCTGATTAAAAAAAAAAAAAAAAAAACTTGATTACTGGTGGTGCAAAGAAACTTGAAAGTTATCATATGCCAGTGCTTGGTATCTGCAATGATTCACTGTGGTAAAATATATTAGAATATGGAAGTGTATAGGTAGAAAGTGAGCCTCTATGAAAGTGATGGAGTTTATGGAAGCACCACCAAATCTTCTTCATTAATTTTCATTTGGACTCTACTAAATTGATTGAGGGCAAAGCTTTTATTTAATCATAACGAGAAAAAAAAGAAATTACAGGTTCTGGTGAGAAGTTCTCTCTTTATCGACAGATGGAGATTAAAAATAAGCTGCTTTTGGGAGCATCTCCCTTACTCTATTAGTGCTTCCCCAGCCTCAAAAACCAACTTGCTTGGCTGACTCCATTGTTCCTTTTGGTATTAATATGTGAAACTTTTCTTTTCGAATCCGCTTTTTTTTAATAAATCATTAATCAAAAAAAAAAAAAAAAAAGTCTCACCTGGTTTTCATTTTGCTTTATGAAGAATAGATTACTAAGAAGAGTATAGATATTGATAAATGAATCAATGACTGTCTGAATTAACAAAATAGAATGGAAAAATGAAAGAAGCTCTCTCTAATTTTCTGTTTATGGGATACATACCTCATTACAGTGACAGATAAATTCCAAATAAATGAATGATATGTTGTTAGGTAACTAGGGTAGTGGGAGGAGTGTTAGAGCAGATTTCATTATTGGAAAAATAATTTAAGTACTAGGACACACAAAGAGTGTCATCTTATACAGACAAATAATTCCATATTGCCTCATTCCTTTTGCTGAAGGATGTCAGAGTTTACAGTGAACTTTGAGCCGAGATTGGGGGTGTTGGATACATGGTGAGGACCAGAAGTTGAATAAATGCAGGAGCTTAGCAGAGCCCCAGTTTGAAATTTAATATTGTGGGAAATGAAGATTCTTCAAATTATAAAATCACATTAATTTTTGCTGGCTTCATAGGATACAATTAACTTTTTGTGTGAAGGCCAAGAACCAACACAATGAGGCACCATAGCTAAAGTAATGTGTTTTTTGTGATCATGCCATTGCACTCCAGCCTGGACTACACAGTGAGACCCTGTTTCAAAACTAAAATTAAAAAGTAATATATTTTTGCAATTCTGTGTTAATTGCTTTATTGCATCCTAAAATAGTATCCCATGGAAAGTTACTAATATGATTGAATACATTCAGTGTTTCAACTTTACAAATGTGAGTTTTTGCCCAGGTTACCTGCTTGTTTTGTTAAAGATCAAGAGTGAATAGGTTTGGTTAGGACTATTGTCCCTGATGCATTAGACTTTTAAGATGCCTCTTATTGGATTATTCCATTGCTGAACCATTTGGAGAAGACATATGTACATCAGTTGCACATAGTCATCCACAAAGTGGGTAAAACAATTGAGAGAAGGTTAAAATTTTGTTCTGGTTACACAACCATTAAATTGGTTGCAATTCTGAAATTTGAAATACCTTCTTGTATGCTTTAGAATGTATGTTAATAGCATTTTTTATCCTCCTTTGTACATTGAAAAAGTAAGCAGATCCCCAAGTAAACAAGATGAGTATATCAGGTTATGCCAATGCTCTTTTTATGAAATATGTAAGTTAGAAGAAGTCAAAGCTCTACCACCAACAGTTATCTACTCATGAATATTTCCATTTGAATTTTTTTTTTCTAAAAGAGTAGAAGGAAATTTCAACATAAAAATTTACACGCATAATTTAAAACCTCCCATTTCTGTTGGTATACACGGAAATAGTTTTGTTTGTATATCCATTGAAATAATTGCTAAGAATGGTACAGAAAGTAAATTTTCCCTAATTTTTTATTCATAGTCTTCTAACTGAAGCAAACACACAGTATTTTAAATGGAAAATTCTAGCATATCCCTTTAAAAAACTCTTAGGCTATTATACCTTGGTTCTTCCAATTGCCAGCTTTAGGATCTGGCCAATATATTTAATCTCATGGAGCTGTTGGGATTAATGATATAGTCCATATAAAATATTTATTGACATATAATGAGAGCTCAACAAATGTCATTCATTTGTTACATTACTTGATGGCATTGTATTAGTTGGGGTACAGGCTGGGCCAATATGACAAAGAGACAAGCTAAACCTATATTTTTCTATTACACAGCCGCCGAGAGGTAAGCTGTCTAGGGCTGGCAGGGTGACCCTGCCATTCTTAGCATTTGGATTCCTGCGTCCAAGATGATTCTTCCAGTGACTTTTATTTCCCAGCTGTCATGTAAAGGGAAAGAGATTTGGAGAGAAGATATTCAGTCATTTAAGAGTAAGACATTTGTGGTTAGAACTTAGTCACATGGTCACATCTAACTCAAAAGGTGTCAGAGAAGTGGAGGCTTTTTCTGAGCAGCCATCTGTCCCACTAAAATTCTGTCACAGGGAAGAGGGCAGAACCAATAGTGGAGGACAAGAGCAGTCTTCACTCACATGTGTTATTATCTGAGTATATAACAATATATTAAAGCTATATTAACAGAGATGGAAGCTGTATTTACACATTTAAAACATTATAAACAGAAAAATAGGGAAAAAATTCCCAAATTTAGAAAAACATTGTATTTTTAGCAATCTGAGTTATAGAATGTTTTGAAATACATTTTATTATTTCTAAACACACACACATGCGTGCACACGCACATATACACACACAGTCCTTTAGCTACCGCACTGGCAAATGGCAAGGCTGATCATCACATATTTATTAATAGATAATTAAAAAAAAATCAAATAGTCCTGATATTCATGAAAACAGTGTTTTAAAGTTCATGAAATGTTTACCATTGCCATTTGAAATGATGCATGTCACATTGTTGTTATGAAGCTTTCTTCCTAAAGGTAAACTATCTGAATTTCTAAAATTTTAGGATAGAAATCTACAAAAATATTTAGAATAATGTGTGGATTAAAGTTTTCCTGGAAGCTTATTTTTGAAGGTAGACTCATTCTGCAGTGGCGTCGCCATAGAACTTCCTGGCTTTTAATTTATTGTTATGATTTCTTAAGTGTAAGTTTCAAAACCAATACCTTTACATTTTGATATGCTCCTCAAAGATGTAAATATGAAATGTGTGTAAATATTGAACATTCAACACTCTCAATTAAGGTAGTATTTAAGCGTTCTGAGTGAAGGATTTATTTTCATTAGTAATTCAAGCTAATGCTTATTCTTTGACATTGTGGTCACGTCATCTCATGTAAATAGGATATTCATTTTCTAGGTGGTGGAGAGTTTAATATATGTACAAAGGGACATACTCAAAAACAGAACACAATTAATCATTGGTGATAGGGAATCAGCAAGATGCGCAGGCAACAAGAAGGATTGGAAATCTTCAAGTCCGGCAAAGAAGCCGTATTAGAATATCAGATACTAGAATTCCCTTTACCCACTTGTCAAATGAGATCAGTAAAAACATTCTCCCTTTCTCACAGAATTGTTTTGAGGGTTAAAGACAATATAAAATTTTAAAGAAGTTATATGCTTTCTTCCTTTAAATTAACAAATATAGCTATTTATTATTAATTCCCTATGTTTTGCTTTTATTCAGAGTTGCCTTACTTCCCTCAACAATTAAGTGCTGTAACTATATCAGCACCATAATGATGTAGGCAATTTAAGATTATCTTACACTCCTGGATTTGCTCTGTTTGTCCTAAGAAGAAAGAAATCTATTTTGACTGCAGAATATAGCACTATATAGAACGCAGAGAGCATGGATTCCCTTCACCACCATCCTCCCCGCCCCTCGCTGCTGTGCTGGAGATTTTTCAGTAAGAAGGTATTTTTGTTTAAACAGTGGTTAATTACATTCATTTTCAAAGACACAGAATAAACTCAGGGGATTTCTAATTTTAGGGTGACTTTCCATATTTTCTCAACAGATATTAAAATGTCTTTTCTTTTATCTTACCATTCTATTTCAGCCCTTAATTAACGTTTTCTGAAGTGTGCTAGTACTTGAGGGATATGCTATTATTTATTGTTTCTCTAAATATATATTTAGTGCAGTGGTTCTCAGCCAGAGGCTGTTTTGTGCCCTGGAATACACTTGGAAATGTTTGAAAAGACTTGTGATTATCATAACTCGGGGCATGGGATGGTATGGAAATACTTGTGATTATCATAACTTGAGGCATGGGGCGGTTGCTACTTGCATACTCTTGGCATAGAGGCCAGTGAGGCTTTTAAACATCCTACAAGGCATGAGACATCTCTTCACAACAGAGAATTATCTGTGAAATGTCAATTATACAAAGGTTGAAAAACTGCTCCAGAAGAACGGAAGAATCTGAGTGTATGAAATTCTTTAAAGGAATATAAATTTGTCAAATTGTATATCAGCATTGGTAGGTATCAGTTTTGCTTTAGAAAACCCATTTGTTAATAAAGTATGACAGTTATGGGCAAATTAAACTGGCTGCTTTTTAAAAATTCTTTTATTGGCAGTGAAATGAATTTAGGTCGTTTCGGGTTAGAGACATTAAACAGGCAGCTCATTCAGCCTTTGGTTAATTATTTTTAAATTTAGTTTTAATGGAATCTAGTATGATCTTTTTCACTTTTAATTGCATATGAATTTTCTGGTCAAAATATATGCTTAATTCACAATTTGTATATAGCTTCAAATATGGAAAAAGAAAGGCTAGGTTAATAAATCATCTCTGGAGTTAAAAACCAACAAAAAACAAGTAGCGAGTTTCTGTTATTTATGTATCTCAATATTTTCCTTGTTTTGGATCTAAGTGTTCTTAAACATGAACTTATAATTTACCTTTTGTGTCAAGTGCTTTTATCCTAAAAACTGAAAAATTCTTACTGTAAATGTTTTTCGTACTGACTTGAGTCTTTGTTATAGTTTGGTTTTTCTGTTCTAGGGACAACCTGCATTTCTAGTTAAATATAATCACCCATTCCTATGTATAATATGAAGAAAATTAAGTGGCATGTTTGCGATTGTCACTTGTTCCTTTCCTTCTGACATCTTTGCTATATTGTTCAGAAGTGTCACCATCATCTTGTTAATAGGAGCTAGGGCAAGTAGCAGTGTGTGCTCTGGAAGGCTCGCCAATTGTGACTTCATTCTTCTTAAATATCCTTCTAAAGATAATGCCCCATTTGAAATGTTATAGTCCTAGCTAAGAAGCTGTATCATAGCAAATAGAAAGAATAGAGTGGCTAGGGAGACTCTTGAGTTTGGTATTACAATGCCAGTTTGATATAGTTATCGTTGGAAAAGTATGCACTATAGGCCAGGTGCGGTGGCTCACACCTGTAATCCCAGCGTTTTGGGAGGTGGAGGCTGGTGGATCACCAGGTCAGGAGATCAAGACCATCCTGGTCAACATGGTGACATTCCGTCTCTACTAAAAATACAAAAATTAGCCAGGTGTGGTGGTGTGCACCTGTAATCTCAGCTACTCAGGAGGCTGAGTCAGGAGAATCGCTTTAACCTGGGAGGCAGAGGTTGCAGTGAGCTGAGATTGCACAATTCTACTCCAGCCTAGGCAACAGAGCAAGACTTGGTCTCAAAAAAAAGAAGAAAAGAAAAGAAAAGAAAAGAAAAAGAAAGAAAAGTATGTGCTATAAATTTGGGGATATGACTGAATTATGTATTTATATGTGTGTACATATGTATGTGGTATGTATATAATTGTATGTGTGTGTATATATAAGTTTGGATTGTATTTATAGTAAACAAATTTGTAATTCAGATTCTTCCTATGTACTAATTGTTGTGATAGTCACTAGAAGTTCTGAGCTAGGCAGTTTACTAGTCTAAAATAGATTGCAGTAGACTGTAGAATAAGGCATAAAACAATATCCTGATTTGTATTGCTCTTCATAATCATGTCTCAATTTGCCTTTCATTCTTTATTTTCCTATAAGTCCTTGTATTACACACATTCTGATCTTTTTCATCCCTTATTGAATAATGTTTCCTCCAAAATGTTTGATGTGGCTGTAGTTTCATTTATGTGACTATTGCAGCCTATGTGATCTTACTTTCCTCTGAATTCTGATAGCATACATTTCTGTATCTCTTCATTGGAACACTCATATTCTTCCTCACACTGATCATTACCTTATTTTGTGTATTTATTCCATTGTTGGAATTTAATTATTGAATTGGTGTTGTATTGTAGTCTGCTATGTAACTGCATGGCACCTTACTTAGCCATGTTATTTTTTTAGGTTTAAAATAAATATTGATTTTAAAATACAGGGAGTAAGTTGTTATAAATCATTATTCACATTCCCAGCAAAGACTGATACAGAATCAATATCCATTCACTAATTTATTCAATCAGTATTGATTGTGCCAGGCACTGTGCTATGCACTAGGCATGTACCAGCGACCAAAACAGACAAAAATCTTTGTCTTTTTGAAATTCACCTTCTAGTGAAGGGGAATAGAAGACACACAATAAACATAACACTTATATAAATTATATATGTTAGATGTTTGCATATGCTTAAAAGTAGCAAAACAGAAATATCAAGTCATAACATTTTCAAAGGTAGTGTCCCAATTCAAAAAGGTGGGTTATAGGGAAAAGAAAAATAAGACTATAATTTACTCAGAGTGAAGATGCAGAGAATCAAATGTGATTTTATTTTTTTTTGAGACAGAGTCTTGCTGTGTCACCCATACTGGAGTGCAGTGGTGCCATCTCGGCTCACTGCAACCTCTGGCTCCCAGGTTCAAGCAGTTCTCTGTCTCAGCCTCCTGAGTGGCTGGAATTACAGGTGCCTACCACCATACCGCCTAATTTTTGTATTTTTAATAGACACGAGGTTTCACCATCTTGGGCAGGCTGGTTTTGAACTCCTGATCTTGTGATCCACCCACCTCTGCCTCCCAAATTGCTGGGATTACAGGCATGAGCCACACTGCACCTGACCCAAATGTGATTTTTAAAAATGACATTAATACAGTGTTATGCATCTTGTAAAATGATTACCTATAGCTTTATAAATGCATACACACTAAGTTGAATTAATATATTTTAGCAGTTGGTATTTGCATCAGTTCTTTACCCAGCAGCACTAAACACAATTGACAATATGCTAAAGACTAAGACATTTTAAAAGCTTGACTTTTATTTAGGAGATTACATCATTTATTATTTTAATCAAAGGGAAGGAAGAGGTTGAAGAGATCAGGAACTAATTAGAAATGATTACATAATTTTTATGGCAAAATTCATTGTGTTAAAACTTAGCTAATTTCCATAGGAGAAAAGGAGGTTTTGTTTTTATTGTCTTTGTTGTTAAAGTATATTCTAACATCAGTTCAGATCTACAGTCACTAGTTACTCTTTACCTTAGATGAAGGAATATTCACATTTCTCAACATTTCTATGTGATAGCCAGCTTAGATGATGATGAGACTTACAATAAATAAAGAAAAAAGATATATATATTTACTGCTCTAGTATTTCTTTAGTTAAGGGAATTTCGATCCTTGAAAGTGACCAAGAAAGTACATTATATCATTCTTTTGTGTTAATACACCTTTTAGAAAGAAGACATTCTCAGTTGCTAGGGAACAAGTAGTTCAAAAGCCT